TGTTTGTTAATTGAGATGCAATTCACATACCATAAAATTCACGCTCTTAGACTGTAAAATTCTGTAGTTTTAGTGTATTTGCCAGATGGTGTCACCATCACCACTATTCAATTCTAGAACATTTTCCATCAAAAAGAAACCCCATACCCATAAGTAGTCACTCCCTATTCTCTCCTTCCCCCCAGTCCCTTGGCAACCTCTAATCTGCTTTCTGTATCTTTGGATTTGCTCTTCTGGATATTTCATATACATGGAATCTTAAAATATTTGGCCTCTTGTATCTGGCTTCTCTCACTTAGCATATTGTTTTCAAGGTTCATCCATTTTGTAGCATGCATCAGTACTTCATTCCTTTTTATGGGTGAATATTATTCCATTGAATGAAATACCACATTTTATTTATCCACTCATCAACTGATAGTCATTTAGGTTGTTTCCACTCTGGGGCTATTACGAATTATACTGTCATGAACAGATATTTGTGTACAAGTTTTTGTGAGAGTATATGTTTCATTTCTCCTGGGTATATATAGGCATGAAATTGCTGCGTCGTATGGGAATTCTGTCGTTAACCTTTTGAGGATTGTTTCCCAAAATGGCTGCACCATCTTGCATTCCTTACAGCAGAATATGAGGGTCTCAGTTTCTCTACATCCTCACTGATACTTGCTGTTATGTCTTTATAGTTATAATCATCATAATAGGGATGAAGTGTGGTATCTCATTGTGGTTTTGATTTGCCTTCCTCTGATGGCTAAAAATGCCCAACATATTTTCATGGGCTTATTGGCCATTTGTATGTCTTCTTTGGAAAAATGTCTATTCAGGTCCTTTGGCTATTTTTAATTAGGTTGTATTTTTAATTATTGCATTTTAAGAGTTTTTTGCATATTTCAGATACAGTTCTATCAGATTTGCAAACTTTTTTCCCATTCTGTGGGTTGTTTTTTCCCTATCTTCATGGTATCCTTTGAAGCACACAAGTTTTTAATTTTGAGGAAGTCCAATTTATCTGTATTTTCTTTAGTTGCTTGTGCTTTATGTGTCACATCTAAGAGATCATTGCCTAACCCAAGATCATGAAGATTTACACGTATGCTTTCTTCTAAGAGTTTTGTAGGTTTGACTCTTACATTAGCTCTTTAATCCATTTTGAATTAATTTTTATATACAGTGTTAGGTAGAGGTTCACTTTTTTTTTTTCCCTGAAGATTCCATCTATTTAGAGAGAGGGTGCATGTGCGCAAGCGGGGGGTGGGGGAGGAACAGAGGGAGAGAGAAAGAAAGAATCTCCAGCAGACTCTGCACTGAGCTTGGAACCTGACGCCGGGCCCAATCCCATGACCCCAAAATCACAACCTGAGCTGAAATCAAGAGGCAGATGTTCAACTGACTGAGCCACCCAGGTACCTGTGAGGTTCTTTTTCATTCTCATGAATGTATATATCTAAGCCCAGAACAATCTCTTGAAAAGGCTACCCTTTACCCCCTTGAATGGTGGCATTCTTGTTGAAAGTCAATGGACCATGAATCTGTGGGTTTAATTCTGGACTTTCTATTCCATCAGTTTATATGTCTGTCCTTAGGCTGGTACCCACGCCATCTTGATTACTGTGTCTTTTATAGTAACTTCTGAAATCAGGAAGTGTGAATCTCTTTAACTATGTGCCAAGAAAATTTTGAAATTGAGTTAAACTAAGTTAGTCAAATAAAGACAAGTAGACAAGGAACTATTCTTCAAAATAAGTCTAAGCAGGCCCCAAACTAACCTAATTTACTTAGGAACAGAATGGCTGTCTAGACTTACCCAGCCAGATTCATTTTACTCCTTCCTTCATTTTTTTTTTTTTTTTTTAAGATTTTATTTATTTGTCAGAGAGAGAGAGAGAGAACGCTCAAGCAGGGGGAGAAGCAGGCTCCCCACTAAGCAAGGAGCCCAATGCAGGACTCAATCCCAGGACCCTGGTATCATGACTTGAGCCAAAGACCAACTGAGCCACCCAGGCATCCCACCTTCCTTCATTTATTCAGCGGTGATTTTAGGGAGTTTCTATACCAACACAACTGTGAGCAGTGTTGAACACTGGACAACATAAAAATCTAATGTCCAGGAGATGGTTTTGGAAATTTCATCCCAGGTGGGAGGTTTTCAGCCAGAGCAGTGATGGTAAGGATAGGACACTCTTAAGAAATGTTGAGACAGAATTTTTAGGACTTATAATGGATAAATTATAAGTGGTGAAGGAGAATAAGGGATTGGAGCTACTTCTATTTCTGGCTTGGGGGTGATGAGTAGATGGGCGGATGGGATGGTAAAGGAGTAGACTGCACTGGGCTGAGTAAATACACTCAATAGTATCATCTGTTCTTCAAGAAGTCCAGGAAGGCGGAAGGAAAGAACAGGGTTATGAGAAGGTTAAATGTGTTTTGTTGGGTGTGTTTTAGGATGGAGGATGTTTGCCATCTGGGATAAAAATTGCAAATGAGATGGGTAGTTTCATTATTACTTTAGGCCTCAGAAGAAACAGAGCGGGGCACCTGGGTGGCTCAGTCAGTTAAGTGGTGGCCTTTGGCCCAAGTCATGATCCCAGGGTCCTGGGATCATGGCCCCGCATCGGGCTCCTTGCTCAGCAGGGTGTCTGCTTCTCCCTCTCCCTCTACCTGCCGCTCCCCCTGCTTGTGCGTGCTCTTTCTCTCTCTCTCTCTCTCTCAAATAAATAAATAAATAACATCTTTAAAAAAAAAAAATAGAGCAAAGACACTCTTTCCTCCAAGACATTTGGTAGGAGGGTTGATGTTGATACTCTGTATTTTCCCTGTAGCAAACATTAGGAGGTGGGGTAGGTTAGGGAACCACAGATCTTAAGAGTAGTAAAGCCTTGGAGTAGCCACTGAGAACTGTAGATAAAATAACAAGGAAACAGAAAATAGGAATGAAAAACACAAGACAGAGGATCGGTTCAGGAAGTCTAACAGCTAAATACCAGTTCCTAAAAGAAAGAACACAGAAAATAGAGGGGAGGAGATTATCAGTGAAATATTTCAAGAGAAGTTCCCCATAAAGAAGCACAGTATGGTTTCCAGATTGAAAGGACCCATTTGACAAAACAGGGGAAGGGGATTAAAGGTACAGATTTACAGGGGCACCTGGGTGGCTCAGACTGTTAAGCATCCAACTCTTGATTCCAGCTCAGGTCATGATCTCAGGGTTGTGAGATAAAGCTCTGCGCTCAGCTGGGAGAATCTGCTTGAGACTCTCTCCCTCTGCCCCTACCCCACTCATATGCGGACATGCGTGCTCGCTCTCTCTCTCTCTCAAAAATAAAAAAAAAAAACAGAAAAGATACAAACTTCCAGTTATAAAATAAATGAGACATGGGAATGCAATGTACGGCATAGAGAATATAGTTAACAATATCATAACAAGTTTATATGGTGACAGATGGTACCCAGATTTTCGTGGCAATGACTTCATAATATATGTAAACGTTGAGCCACTATGTTGCACACCTGAAACTAATATAATATTGTATGTCAACTACACTTCAATAAAAAAAGGAAGGACCTGTTTGAGTTCCCAATACAGTAACATCAACACGAAGACATGAATAACTACAGGTTTCCAGAGAAAGAAAATAGGCCAGAGAGGAAAAGGATCAGGAATCAGAATGGCTTCAGATGTCACAACAGCCAATACCCGAAGCAAGACAACTGAGCAAGGCCTCCATATTTCCAGTAGAAAGTGATTTTCAGCCCATACTTCTATATGCAGCCAGGTTATTCAGTCCACTTTGAGGGCAGAGAAAGATTTTCAGACACTCGGTACAAAAAGCAGGAGAACAAGCCAAGAAGAGAGACTGGAGTAGGGTACAATACGGGATGGGGCCTGCTCTTTCCGCGACAGAGCTGGTGCTCCCAGTCAACTCTTGCACAACTCTTTTATACATGTTGAAGCTTTAAAGTGAACAGGCCACAACAATGTGAATGTGTTGAATTCCACTGAGCTGCACATTTTAACATTATTAAAATGGTATATCCATTTACCACAAGTTTAAAAAAAAAAAGATATATGGGAGGTAGAAACAGGCAGCACATACAAGTCTTACAGTTTAGCTGTCAAGGGTAGATAAGGGACAGTGGTGAAGGGGTGGGAATGGGGAGTGGTATACAATTATTGTACTGTTTCCCCCTTGGAAAGTTTTTAAATTTGGAGTCAGAAAAATCCAAGAATGTCTGTGTAAGTGCCCAGCTCCCGCCCAGTAGGAGTTTAGTTAACGTGGGCTGAATCTGACTGGGATGGCTGCACGTTCTTTCCTGGCTGTTTCCTGGGGCCTTGGCATTGACATTCCATCTGGGGCAGTCCTCCCAGGTTCCCGTGAGGAAAGCAGCATTGACGACATCAGATATGTTTTTCACCGTTTAAGTACTTTGAGCGATGGCCTCCGGACAAATGTTTAATTCAGAAAAATAAATGTAGCCTAAACAAATCTTATTATCTTACAGCGTGAACTTCCTGCCTGAGGCCTATAAAGACTAAGTAGTTTGAAAATGGAAAACCAAGAACCAGCGGATCCTTCTCAAAATACCAAACAGTCTATTATTTCAGAGGAGGTATAAACTGTTTTTCTCTTCTCTGCCCCCTCCCCACACAGAGCTGAGTTTAAATGAAATGTAGAAACTGTTGTTTCAAATGCTTATATTTAATTCTTTGTGTGTGTGTATTCAATTATTAAACACAGTTTCTTAAACATTGTTCCTACTCCCTTTTTAGGACTCAGGGACATTTTGCTCTTGTGTGGGAGCAATAGTGTATCTCTTAATTATATGTACTAGTGAAGTGTTTTTATTTTTTTTTTTTAAAGATTTTATTTATTTATTAGAGAGAGAGGCACAGCGAGAGAGGGCACACAAGCAGGGGGAGTGGGAGAGGGAGAAGCAGGCTTTCCGCTGAGCAGGGAGCCCGATGCAGGGCTCGATCCCAGGACCCTGGGACCGTGACCTGAGCCTGAAGGCAGACGTTTAATGACTGAGCCACCCAGGCGCCCCTAGTGAAGTGTTTTTAAAGTGGATTTGGGCTGTTGATACAAAAATTCTCAAAATTTTATTAAAAGTTTCCCTGGGTAGAAGAATAAGTCATACGTGAGTTTCAGGGTTTAGACATTTCATACCTAAGTATCACGTCTTAGTTAGCTGTTTATGGTCTCAATATATATGTTTAAGAACAATAAGAATCTAAGTTGTTAGTTGTAGTCTGAATTCCAGAACTAATGTATGTGTTATATGTTATTTGGTTTAGCTTTTAATAAGTCTCTTTCTGCAGGAACCATTGCAGTGGATAAATTTTAAATCCTTCACCTTGGAACTCTGACCTTGACATCTTCCTGCAGTTGTTTATGATTTAAAAATCTTTCCATGTTGTCTGTGAATAGATCTGCTGATAATTATTAGGTTGCTGCTGGCCAGAAGTGAAAGATAGGATAGTGAGAAAAAGGCTACTGCTTTATGTCTGCAATGAATCTCTTCTGTCAGTTCAGTATAGTGCCGTAGGTAAGTTAGTCCAGGTAACTGAAACTCAATGTCTAGGCAGAACGATCCTGGGCCACCTGTCTTGGATGGGGTGGGAAACCCACGTGTTCCTAGAAATGCGGTTGTTGGACATGGTTTCCTCAGTCAGCCTTCCGGTGTGGTCATTGACTATAAACCACAACTGAGGATTCTCTACCCACGAAACACACCTCTGTGATGAGCACCCAGCTCAGAGGATAGAACACTAGGTCCCCGAAAACCCCTCACTCCTGGTCCTCCCTCTCCACTTCCCCGCACCCCCCGTTTTTTAACTCTCATCTCTTTTCACCTCTCAGTATCACTTCCCAAACTCCAGAAAGAAGCTGAACCACCCTTCAGAAAAAAAACTTTCTGTACTTTGAACTGAAAACCTTCCTGCAACTACTGGGAGGGGCACGTGAGCACCGGGAGGGCCAGGCAGAGAAAATCTGAAAGAAAACAAACCTTCTAAGTAAAATCCTCAGTTTGAAAATCTCCCAACTTAATGTCTCCTTTTAGTTAATTTCAGAAGGAAAATGGGTCAAGCTTGAAAAAACAACGTACATGGATCCTACTGGGAAAATAAGGTAAATGATTTTTTTTCCCTTTTGTAAAATGCGCAGTATTTGGGTTCTCAGTCGGGTCTCCATTTAGCATTTGACATAAACTCTGATAGCTTCCTCATTATAAACTTGGTCTTAAATGAAAACTCTAATTCAGTGCTTTCTGTCAGAATGTCTGGATCGCTTATAATCTCTGAATAAAATTACATTGTCAGTTTGTTATAATAACTAATCAGGAATTGATTTTTAACACCATTCTCCCTGAGGAGATTCTTATGAACCTGAAATTTGGGGCCAGCCTCACTTAAGCTGATAAAGCAGCAGAATAATTAGCCATCTGGGCTGCCTCCTTCTGGTCACACCAATTTTTAATTTGTAAATTAGAAGGATTAAGGAGGGAATAGTGCTGGGTTTGAGGTAAAACTTACATCCTTTACACCTTGCTCATGGAAATGTGAATTGGGGGGGAAAAAAAGTTTTGCAAAGCATTGCACTGTATGTACCAGACATAAAGATATGACAGACACCCTTCGACCTAAGTAATCCCATTCCTGAGACTGTTTGGAGTCAGGTTTGTGCATGAAAAATGTTCATCAAAATTTAAAAAGACAACAAATTGAAAGCACCCTAATCATTTTAAAAATTGGGAAATGATTGTTATAGTGCAACGTAAGAGAATATGATGTACAGTATGAGGGAACATAGTCAATGATATTGTAACAACTTTGGTGACTACACTTGCGACTATTTTGTAATGTATATAATTATTGAGTCACTATGTTGCACACCTCGGATACAATATTGTGTGCCAATTCTTCTTCAATCTGAAAGGGGGGAAATAATTTTTTAGTGTATTCATTTGGTAAAATCTCTGCAGTCATCTACAAAGCAGATTCTGAAGACAAGCTAGCAATATGAGAAAAGTGATTAAGTTGTTCACAACATAGGAAATGGTATATATGCTTTTTAAATTCTTTCCAAATAATGTATTTAAGAAAAGGCTAGAAGGGAAGCTGGCAAAATATTAAAGGCAGCTGTGCGGTAAACCTTTTCTGTTTTCCAAATTTTGTTTAGGAAGTTTTTGATTTTATAATTAACTATCAGAGAAAAATGTGTTAAAAATAGATTAAGCATTTCCCTCGTGAAATATAAAAAGGAATGAAGTGGTGAATGAGAAAATACAAAAATATAATTAAATTTAGTATCCAGATTACATGATATAAATTAATATAAAAAGTCCATTTGCTAAGTGATCAGATCACAGAGTTTCTTCATGAGAAAATATATCTTATCATCCCTGTGAAAGTATGCGGACTTGTCAGTAATAACTGTGACCACTTTAATTACATTTACTAAACTATTAAAAGTATTAATAAGGGCCAGTGTTGGAGAGCTGCAGGAAACATTAAGCTATCCAAAGCACTATTAGATTAAAACCTGAAAGTAAGAAACTGGGCACACTGCAGTCCAACACAGGGAAAGCATACAGAACACTTATTTACGTGAGTTTGATGTGCAGAACTAAGTAGGAAATTACTAGCGGGTATAGGAATACAGAAATGTGGCCAGGCCCAAGCCTTCAGGAACACAATATGCTCAAATGTACTTGTATTTGTGAAAATGTAGACAGATTAGAACCCAATTTGTAGTGATATGGTTTGACTCTCTTTTCCCTACAAAGTTGTTTAAGTTTGTAACAGATACAACCCTTAACACTAATTGATCGAAAGAGTACGTGTTGGTTTGCACCAGCTCATCTCTTCACCTGACTTATCTTCCTCCATCAGCATTTCTTAACAGGGATGTGCATCAGAATCACTTGGAGGCTTTTTATCACAATATTCGCATCCAGGTCTCACCTCCAGGGCGTCTGTCTCAGTATTGAGGGGGGCACCCGAAAGCCTACCAGATACCATGCTTACATGGCCCTTTATAGCATGTTCACCTCTGTTCTTGCACGTGGACGTCTTCCCCATGACTTCCAAGGAGCTCTTTCCAGACACATTGACATTTTGTACCAGAATGTCAGGCTTTGCAGAGTGAATCTCTGGACTTTCCCATAGGTCATGATGTATAAACTTATCAAATGTTTTATCTGGTACCTGATACATAAGCATGTTGGTAAGGATGAAATAGCAGCTCGAAAATCCTTTGTGCCACCATGTTATTTGTGGATAAAGATATGGAATTGATTTTAGTTGTGTAAGAATTGCTGGCAGCATCCCCCTTTATGGCCATTCAGGACCGAGCCAAAGTCATCCTTTATTGCCATTCCTGCCTTTTGTGTTTGTTGACTAGGCTAACAATATGTCCTGGGAAAACAGGCTTTCCTATAACAAAGACTCAAAAACTGGAGTAGCTTAACTAGAATCAGAATTCGAAAGCTACAAGAGGCATTTGAGATAACTTACTCTTAATGCCCTAGTTTTACAACTGAGAACAGTTTCAAGGAGTTTGTGGCTATGGGGTTAGCTGGTAGCCAGGCAGAGACTAAGATTTTCTGACTCAATCAAATGTCTGTCTCTCAGAGTCCCTTGAAGATGATTGGAGCTCTCATGGGGCATTCCTGATCTAGGATTCCTTATAAATGCATTTATATTTCCTTGCTCATGATTCATGGCTTGTTACTGGTTATTTTACTTCATCTTAACCACTGTAATGATGCTACTCTTTTTGTTTCCCTTATTCCTAGTGTTTTTGGGGTGGCACCTTCAGTGTTCCTCAGCACTGTCTTCTTCAGTCTTTACAACTAACCTTAAGAGGTAGCAGAGAGAGCTATGCCAAAAGGTGTTTTGTCTCTTGCAGTCTGTATTGTTTACTGATCAGAATTGCTTGTTGGTTGGCTTCTTGTTACTAACAGGAATGTTGGGCAGTTGTGAGTTGTCATAATAGTGTTTGGTTTTCGTAGGTTCATTTTGACACATTTGCCATTAGAATTTGCGTATAATACCGAAAGATCTACAGTTTACAGAAAGGTTCTTTTTTTTTTTTTTTAAGATTTTATTTATTTATTTGAGAGCACAAGCAGGGGGGAAGGGCAGAGAGAGAAGCAGACTCCCCGATGAGCAGGGAGCCCGATGTGGGGCTCGATCCCAGGACCCTGAGATCACGATCTGAGCCGAAGGCAGACGCTTAACTGACTGAGCCACCCAGGTGCCCCCAGAAAGGTTTTTTTGTTTTGTTTTTTTCACTAGATTAAATAGCTAGATTTTTTCCATAGAAATGTGGCACAGTCCAACCCTTAAGGACAAGCTGGTCAAAAGTGTGAGGGCCCCTCTGGGCAGCCCATCTCCTCAAACCCACTCTTCTGTGGGGAGGCAGACGTTGATGCCTTTCTTACCCTAGTCTCCAGCGCCACTCAGATGTCTTACTTCTCTTAGATCCAAAGTTGATCTGCTTCTTCACTCCCATCTCTTAGCACTGCTCCTTTCTGTTTAAGGGATAAGAGAGTGAAGGGGAATTTCCCTCACGTGTCCTTCCCCTTCAAACACAATTGACACAATTGTAGCAATAACTGGATTTTCAGGACAGCTTTCCCCAGAAAGAAACAGCTAACCACGGAAAGGGAGCAGGAACCTGCCATTGCTCATCTCACTTTTTCCTCTGTGGACCATTTTCCCCTTAGGTAAAGATAGATTTCACACATGCAGAAGAGAGCACTTACCTAAATTTAGTAATTCCTCAATGAATAAATGGAATGGTCCTGCTTTCTTAAATTGTTATTTTAGGTCATGTGTAAATAACATCTCAGGAGTTCATATTATGCAGAATATCTTTTGTTCTTAGCAAAAAGACTGGACTTTTCATAGGGGCGTAATTTGCACAGACCACTGGGTAGCTTTGTAGCTTAATTGACTGCTCACCTATAGATTTATGATCCAACCTGAAATATTTCCAGTGGACGATTTGAAAGGCAGCTCAAGCGAACAACAGGCCTTCTCTTTAGATAGCATCAGAGGGTTAGATGTAGGGCGGCATGTTTTCTTTGGAAAAATTTTCAGGAGCTACAGGAAAGCACAGTTGGCTTTTCCTGTACAGACGTGTATGGCTGTGGTCTTCTTGACCATTATCATTAGAACACTTGCATGCTTTGCATTTGAAAGTTCTGGTTGTGGACCGAAAACCCAAGGACATTCCCCCTCTGTAACACCAGTGATTTTGTTTTTTCTTCTCTGCCTGAACAGAACTTGGGAAACTGTGAAACGTACAACCAGGAAAGGACAGTCGGCTGATGGTAGGAGTGCAAACCTGTTACAGCTCTTCATGAAGGAAGTCACTGCGCATTATTGCAGGAGGCGGGGTTCTTTTTACTTTAACCAAGACCTCAGAGCAGTTCTCTTCAATTATGATCTTTAATCTTTAAACCTACTATTGCTTTTTGCATTGCTACATGACTAAATCAGGCTTTCTTTTAAAGATTTATTTATTTATTTGAGAGAGCGTGGCAGGTGGAGGGAGAGAGAGTTTAAGCAGACCCCGTGCTGACATGGGGCTTGATCTCACGACCCTGAGATCACGACCTGAGCCGAAAGCAAGAATCAAGACGCTTAACCAAAGCACCACCCAGGCATCCCAGTCAGGCTTTCTTTATAAATAATTCTGGCTCCTGTTATCTCGGCTCAGTACAATATTTTGAGGGGCAGGTATACTAATATTTAGAGCCAAATATAAGTCAGTATAACTTGAAGCCACATACTGTTGTCTAGATATGACTTTTCGAAATCCTTTGTATTCTCTTCAGAGGACCTAGGTGAAAGCCTTTAATTTGGAAAAATATTTGGCCCTACTTTATGATGGACCAGTTGCTTTATAAGCTGATGAGGAAATGGAATTAGGAGACTATTCTATGCATTCATTTCACTGTCCTTTCCACGCACAAATGCTTTGACTGCAAAGATCCTGAAAATCACCTCTGATCTAGGGGAGGTTGGGCAGTAGGTCTTTGTTTTTCCCTTTCATTTTGTTGTCTGTTTTTACTGAAAGTACATAGAGTAGCTGCAACAGCTGCTGTTTCTGCCTGTGGGGATAGTTGGGGGCAAGGGAGTAGCCAAGAGCTCCCCGTAGGCAATTTGTGTTTTCCAGAACACAGTGGGATTTTGCCTATGTTTTAAGGCCAAGCAAAAGGTTTCTCTCTTGGGAGAAAAGGTCCTCGATCCTAAAACAATCAAATCCAGTGTAGCTAGCGTTTACCATAAACAGCAAGACTGACTTGATTCATTGCTTCAAGGACGTACAAGCACACATAGATGACTGTCCCTTCCCCCGCGGTCTGGCTTGCTGCAGGGTGAGAAATGGGCCTCTGCAGAGGTTAGCATAAGGCAGGAATGAGTCCTTGACCCTGTGCTAAATGTTCACGGACATTTCATTAGGGATTCCCTTGGTTTGATCTCCTGCTCACAGGCGTGGCGGTCATCCCGGTGCTGCAGCGGACTCTTCATTACGAGTGCATCGTTCTGGTGAAGCAGTTCCGGCCACCGATGGGAGGCTACTGCCTAGAATTCCCTGCAGGTGAGTCCCTGAACCGAGGGACCGCCGGGCCCGGCGCCGAGCACTGCAGCGCGTGGACCCTGAACACTTTCACCTGTCCCTGTGGTTTTAAGTAAAACAGAAGCATCCCTGCAGCGAGCTGCCCCCGGTCATGTTCTGGTGACGCGCTAAGCCTGAGAGCAAGGCAAGGGTAGTGTCCCACCTGGCCTTTCCCGGCCACCTCTCAGCAACATTCTAACTTCTCTTTGAGGAATTGCGTTTCCCTAGTTTGTCAACTGAGTTCCATTTTCTATCACTAGCGATCTGCCTCCGACCAGAAACTCACAGTAATAACGAGGTCAGACTCTTAACTCCAAAAATTATGAAGGGAAAAGACATCTTGATCTTCCTATATGTACACAGGCTAGGGAAACGGTCCTAACTTCTTAGAATATTCTCTTGAGTTGCTTCTTAGAATATTCTCTTGAGTTGCACGGTTAAGTAGAGCTATCCAGAATTTGAAGCTCTTATGGCATCATAGGACTTAATTGGGTTGTTCCCATCTGAAGAGATTAGATCTCATTTATTTATCATTAGCGGTATAGGTTTTGTACTTTGAAATTCCAGCCCATGAGAAGGCATACCAACTTTCCTTCTCATTTACCAGCCATTTCACTGGAGGAATTAATAACTTTAAAAGTAACAGAATAGGCTGTATTTTACTTTTTCATTGCGTTATTTCGAGTAAAATAATCCAAGTTCTGTGGTCCTCCCCACTTGGCCTCCCTATCAGCTGCCTCGAGTCCGCCAGCCTCCCAGCCTTCTCCCTCGCAGGTGATGCTCATGCCGGCCTTTCTGTCCAGGCCGCAGGATCGCTCTGCGAGGGAGGAAAGCAAGTAGGTGACACTGTGACCTGAGGAAACTGGAAAGAGTGCCAGGCTTCCTGGGCGGGGGCACATAGCTGGGTCCGTCACCGAGGCCAGTGGGCCAACACCACCGAGCCACTTCTCACAGGAATCTGCGCTTTCCGGGCTGCAGAACACAAGTGCCGAGACACTCGTGGGAACAGTTGAGGTCTAAATAAGACGAACAGATGGGAGCTACCGGAACCTATTCGATCTGCCTAGGGTTTTTTCTTTCGCCCTTTTTTCTTAAAAAAGTTCCAAACCTCAGTCAGTTGTACGTGTACAACCACGTTCCACAGTCCTCTGGTTCTTCTCATGTAGCTCAACCGCAATTATACTAGAAGAAGGAGAGGTTCCAAAACCCTGGATTTCCCTAGCCCACCTCACAAATGGTTTGAACTTCCAGGGCTCATCGATGATAATGAGAGCCCAGAAGCAGCCGCTCTTCGGGAGCTTGAGGAAGAAACTGGCTACAAGGGCGATGTTGCCGAGTGTTCTCCAGGTGTGTATTGCTGTCCAGGTGTGCGCTAGGGGACAGACTCTTGAAAACTAGTCAAGCCGTAGATTCTTGTGTGTGTAAAGGATAATGCGGGTGTTCTTCATGCTCAGGATTCAGATGGCTTCTGTCTTGGCTAATTCACTGACAAGAAATCCTAGTTAGATTGGGTCACCCTCTACCCGTGAGCCTCCCCTCCGCAGGGCAGCCAGTTTGACCAAGAAGGCCCTGAAGCTGGAGCAGAAAGGTGAAATCCGTTACCTTCCCGAGTTTCCCACGTCCTAAGCTTTATGCTTTCTTACCTCACCCATGTGCCAAGCACCTCACTAGAGTTTGTTTCTTGTTGTGGTGACAGGAGTTGACAGCATGGCAGTACCACCTAACCCCTCAGACTTAGCACACTTAGGAACTCGGGGGACGGTTCGAGTGCTGGCTACGCGTATGCTCGGCGGTCCTGCAGCTCCACTAAGCGGATCGGGTCGACCGTCGTTGGCATGCACGAGTTCTGTGTTAACTATGAATCACGAGCCCAGGTTTCTTCCGAAGACATTTAAGTAATGAAAGAAGTGGCACGTGACTAGTGTCTGTCAAGGTGATCTGTCGCTTCTCTCCGTAGCTGTATGTATGGATCCAGGTTTGACAAACTGTACCACACACATCGTGACAGTGACTATTAACGGGGACGATGCTGAAAACGTGAGGCCTAAGCCAAAGCCAGGTGAGTGTGCAGTGGATACGTTTAAGGTGCTTCTGTTGCGTTAAAGACCGTTTAACTTGCCACTGATTCGGTTTCTGGCTTGTCAGAATAGGCTTGTAGGTCCTTCGTCAGTACTCCAGGCCCTTTTCCTAATCTTGGGTCCTTTAGTATTTTTCTTTCAACGCTTACTGAGCTTTATGCTTTCTTTTATAAAATGTCAAATTAACAATATTTACGTATTTTCTGTGTGGAGTTTATGCCCACATGGTAGTATGAGCCACAAATCTGAATAGTAAACAGTGAAAATCTTCAGAATCACTCATTTCTGTCTTCGTGTGTTTTAAGAATGGCATAGATTATTGTGAGCAGACAGCAGCTGACTAGTCTTCATGGGGTTCCGTACTTAGAGAAGCGTGTAGGAGGTTCCTGGCTCTATTATTAATTTCTCAGCAAGTCTGGACTCAAGCTTTGATGCCTCTGTCTGTCCATGTCGTCTCCCACCCCGTTACAGGTGGTGATCTCACACACACACACACACACACACACAGTCACGTGTCACAGCCGTACTCTTCCATTTCTCACCGCCTCACGTGCTCCTGAATGTTCCAGTCCCTTTGCAGCTGATTCTAAATGCTCGGTTCAAACTTGCTAATACGCGTATGACATGCAGTGCAAGAGCCGTCCTCAGAGGTGAACAGGATCACCATTAGCCGGCAGTTCCACTCCTAGCTCTACACCGCAAAGCACTGAAAGCAGGGGCAGGGGCTCACCCGGACACTTGCACACCAGCGTTCTCGTAGCCGCCCTCACGGTACCCGAAAGGTGTCCATTAGCTGATGCACAGCAGGACAGCATCCAGCCCTTAAAGAGACCTGCTGGTGCAGCCCGTAACAGGATGAAGTCTGAAACGCTGTGCCGAGTGCTTAGTGCAGCCAGACAAGAAAGTGTAAATAGGGACACCAGGCTGGCCCAGTCCATAGAGCATGCGACTCTTGATCTCCAGGTCATGAGTTCAGGCCCCACGTTGGGCGTAGAGCTCACTTTAAAAAAGAAAAAAAATTTTTAAGCGTAAATCCTGTGCTTCCACCCATATGAGGTTACCTAAAATCCGTGTATTCATAGAGACAGAAAGTAGAATAGAGGTCAGCGTGTATGGGGACGCACTGCTTAGTGGCTACCACGCTTCTCTTTGTGAGGCTGACAAAGCTCCAGAGAAGGATAATGCTGATAACTGCACAGCAGCGTGAATGTATTTAATGCCTCTGAACTGTACCTTTAAAAGTGGTTAAAATGGTGAATTGTGTGTATTTTAACAACTTAAAAATGCATGTGTCGTGTATCCTAGAACATGCTTTAAATGTTGCTATTACACATTTGATTTGGAGAACAATAATTTTGCACTGTTGGAATGCTTTTTACCACGTACCCAGATCAAATTAGTAGAGACCCAGGTTTCTGTTGAATTCTTCCGCCCTTCTCGGTGTGTGTTGCACAAAAGCCTTGCGGTGTTTGACCGCAGCGGGCCCTGCTCTAACGCCGTCCCTCTTGTCTGTTTTCAGGAGAAGGAGGTATGTTACCCAGCTAGCAGTGGCTGACCGTGTGTGTGGCTTAGCGCGGTGGAAATGGCTGCAGGCATTTGGTGGTGTTCTGGTAGGCCCTCTTATTCTTCAGCTTTGTTTTCACTTGCACTTTGTTTGTTTAGAATTTGTCGAAGTAATTTCCTTACCAAAGAATGACCTGCTGAAGAGACTTGATGGTAAGCATTAAGACTATTCCCCAACTTCCTCAATTTTCCCCATCCTCAGCCCCATCCAGTGGGGCACTAAATAGAATTCCCCTTCTGTAATTATAGTCTTCCTCATTAAAGTCAAATACCTAGAAACTGTTGTACAACTGCAGTTCACCAACAGTAATTTTCCTTTCTGGGTGGCAGAGTTTGAAAATGTGAGCAAAACATTCTACGTCAAGTGAAAGCTTTCAGTAGTGTGGATTTTTTTTTTTTTTTCTATAGAAGAGTCAGGATGATATTCCTATAGATTTGCCAAAACTCTATACCTCAAATCTCTAATCCATGGCAATGCAGAGGCCTAAGTAGGTATCTCTTAGCTGATCCTCCAAGATGCTAACCTGCTGGATGGTTCTCTGTGCAGGATTGAAGCTAAAGGAGAATTTAACACTATTCCTTCTGCAAAGATGGAGGTATAGGAAGAGCAATATGCTGATATAATGAATCAGACTACCGGTGTGACCCCTAGTAAATCACTGGTCGTGTAATTCCTGGTCAAGCCATCTCCTAGGGATCTGGTAAAAAAATTAAATAAGGTTATGTGGACAAATGTCCCCTGATGGAACCACAGTAGGAGGTACTGTACTGGAGACAGACAGAGGCCCGGCTGGGAGGGCCCCATTCACTCATTTGTAAAGAAACAGATAATCTTGGTGGTGGGTATTGAGGAGGGCACGTTCTGCATGGAGCACTGGGTGTTATGCACAAACAATGAATCATGGAACACTTCATCTAAAACTAATG